ATACACCACATATCATCAAACACAAACAGGTAAACTAATGAACACTAATAGGCAAACCATACAGACTCTTCACTACTATCAATATAACATTTTATGACGAAGTTTTCACCTCAATTTTTGAAAAACCAAGGTCAAATGACCTGAAACGTTATATATATATATATATATATATATATATATATATATATATATATATATATATATATATATATATATATATATATATATATATATATATATATATATATATATATATATATATATATAAGCAAATTTATCCTTCACCTTGATTTTTTTATGAAAACCGACGTAAAATGTTGTTCAGATTTTGAACTTTGATTTCCAACTCCTGTAATTTTATGTTTTATTTACAACTAAAAATGCACCTATATTATCTCTCGGTTATTGAAGAAAACTGAGATAAAAACTCTAAAAACAATTTTTATTCCTTCATAATTATAATGTTTTATCTCATTCACTTTTTGCGCCCTAGCGAACGAAAGGAACTCATTCTTCTCCAGCGAACGAAGGAGTTTCTCAAGACTCAGAACCACCACTCTTCTTCTCTAAGGAGAAAGTAAGCTTGAATTCTTCTCCGTTGAGTCTCTCATCACATTTATGGTATGTTCAAATTCTCCATTACTATTGTTATTATTTTCCTCGTTGATGTTGTTTCCGTATGTGGTTGTTGTTATTAATATTGGGAAACAAGTGTGAGTTGTGTGGAAAAATATGTGTGATTTATATGTCCCGCATGGCTTTAAAAAATGGAGATTAAACACTTTATAAGTAAGAGGACTCATACAACTACCACCTTAAGGTTTTGGGTAAATATGTGGTGTCTCTCTCACTTGTTTGGATGAGTCTTTAACCTTAGGATTTTGGATGAATATGTGGTGTCTCTCACTTGTTTGGGTGAGTATTTGACCTTTAGGTGAGTGTTTAACCCAATGCATATGCTTCCCCGTCATGATTACCCATAAGTAGTATCAGAGCCTGGTTCGAGTAAGGGACCGACCTCTTGTGCCGAAAGTCTTCCTGACATTATGTTTAGGAGGCGTGTTCCGTTGATGTGTCCAAGATGAGATAAGGGTGTCTCTCAACGCCGGTACAAGCATGTGGATGAAAGAACTTCCGCTTGAAGAGGAGCATAGTGGATGGACTCACACTTTACGGGGATATTATAGGGAAACAAGTGTGAGTTATGTGAAAAAATAAGTGTGAGTTATAAGTTCCACATTGCTTAGAAAAGTGGAGGTTAAACACTTTATAAGTAAGAGGACCCATACAGCTATCATCTTAAGATTTTGGGTGAATATATGGTGTCCTTCTCACTTGTTTGGATGAGTTTTTGACCTTATGGTTTTGGGTGAATACGTGGTGTCTCTCTCACTTGTTTGAGTCAGTCTTTGGCCTTTAGATGAGTGTTTAACCTAATGTGTATGCTTCCCCCTCATGATCACCCATCAATTATTATGGTTTTTGAGTCTTATATTTTTGAAATCGTCCCGCCTGCAACCCCTGTAAACCAACGGATAAAGTAGATTTTATATTCGATTTAGGAGATTGGTGACTTACCCATTCAATGACTTTGGCACTCGACATTCCAAAAAATGGGTACTGAACTATTCCCAAAACAAATGATCGATCGCTTTTATTACTCTCGTTACCAGCGGATCCCCAGACATACTACTCTGCTTTTATCAAATAAGATTCTTTTTTAATCTTGTTCGTGAAATTAAAAAAAAAATAGCATATTGAAAAAATATTTTCTTTTTCAATTCGTTTATATCTAATCTTTTTTCGGGCTCGGCTATATCACCACTTAGCCGAGCCCGAAAAAACCGAGCCAACTTAAATCAATTTAAATCAATAAAAGAAAAAAAATCCATTCGCCAAGAAAAAGGAGAGAGGGGGATTCGAACCCGGAAGCAACGTAAAATAAATCAAATCGAATACCTGAATATTTTGTTTGATAACCAGCTACTAATTCTTCTTCTGCTTCTGGTAAATCAAAAGCTAATCTTTCACATTCTGCTAGCGAAGAAATTAGAAAAACGATGAAACCCATAGGTTGACGCCACAAATTCCAACCCCAAAAACCATATTTTGATTGCGCATCAACTATATCAATTGTACTTAAACTGTTAGATAATCCTAGTCGGTGATAACATTCCTGTTCCCATCTCTATTACAGAACCGTACATGAGATTTTCACCTCATACGGCTCCTGGAAAGGGGGTTCTCTAAAAAAAATAGCGAAAAAAATGATTCCTAAAGTCGAGACTAAGAGGAATGTATAAACCAATGCTTCCATAGATTTGATCATGGTTTACAATTATAGCTTTCATACCTGTTTTGGGGGATTATCTCCTGGATAAAGAAAAAGAAAGAACAAGAGTAAAACAAAATGGAATGATTGAAATCAAGATTTATCTAGTTCCTTAATATCAAATTCACATAACAACAAAAAAAAAAATCGAATCGAAAAGGAACAAACAAATTTCTATCAGACTCCCTGTTTTTTTGTAGTTAATACATTTTCATTTGTTATTAAATATTCAAAAAATGAACCAATCTACTTCGTTGTTCTCGAACATTTTTTTCTTAATTTGATTTTTTTTTCAAAAAAAAACAGGATATTTTTCAATATGACAATAAATCCTCCCCCTTCTGATACTGAGGTTTCTGCACTTGAAAACAAAAATCTGGGGCGTATTGCGCAAATAATCGGTCTGGTACTCGATATAGTTTTTCCACCAGTTAATGGCGTTGAAGTCACTAAATTCTCAGTAGTCGGGATCAATTTATCTCTAATTGCTCTACACATCTTTTCTCTAATTATATTTTCTAAACGAACGAGATCCAATCCAAATTGATCTTGTAAGAGATCTGCTACGGAACAAATACATTTAATGGTTGATTCTGGAGTCGCTAAATAAGGATTAGCCAATCTTATTATTACAGAATCCATTTGAACTGTTATAACTTGACCCAATTTTAATTTTAGGTGTGGTCCATTTTTCATTGGAGCTATACATATATTTTCACAAATAAATTGTCCAAGACTTATTATTGGAAACGTTTTTTCACAAGAAAAATAATGGAGAAAAAACCAATTTAAATGGAATGGATTCAAAACGACATCATAGAGGGAAATTAAAAGGAAACGCCTCTCGCGGTAATAAAATTTGCTTCGGAAAATATGTTCTTCAGGCACTTGAGTCCGCTTGGATTACATCTAGACAACTAGAAGCGGGTCGACGGGCAATGTCACGAAATGTTCGCCGGGGTGGACAAATATGGGCCTGCATATTTCTAGACAAACCAGTTACAGTTGAGAAAGACTTTTCTTCATAAGAAAAGACTTACTATCTTTGGGATCTGATACTACACCGCTGCTCAAAACCTTCGGGGATCAACTTTATTACATAAGTTGATTTCAAATCTATCATCATATAAGTAAGCAGTTCTGGTTGTATCGGCCAAAAACCTTGTTAATTGATCTTTACGGTGCTTCCTTTATCAATTAGATCTTTTATCCATAGAAAAAAGGAAGAAAGAATTTTTTGGTTCGACGCATGGGATTAGCTAAGCATTTTCTCCAAACAAATATAGAACCAGAATGGATGGTTTTATGTCTCTTACCAGTTCTTCCTCCCGAATTGAGACCACATCAAACTCTTCTTTTTTTGATTCTGGACCCAGAGAATTATTTATTTCTATTTCTATCCTTATACCCATAATAGGTATTGGTATTTATCCAGATTTCATTTTCTCATTTTCGGTTGACAAGGTTGAAGCTATTCTATCTAATTTTTTATGGATGATTTTTGTGAATAAATGAATCAAAAAGATAAAAAAAAAATATTTTCCCGTCATAAACTGAAACATTCTAGAGCTACAAAGATAGTTATTAAATCGTTAGCGCTGCATAAAACATTCCTCCTAGAGTAGCGGTTAATATAAATAACAGAAACTCTGTTATAGCCATTTCTGTACATTCAATACATGATATGCCAATATATATATATATATATATATATATATATATATATATATATATATATAAAGTATACATCAAACACAAAATGTTTTTATCTTTATCAAGGACATAACAAAATCTTTTACCCTAATTTTTTTACTTATTGCATATACTAGTTGATATTATAGGACTTGTACTTGATCTTTGTGTAATAATTATCCATTCTTATCGAGTTGTTATCATAATAAATTAAAATAATTTTTTTACAAAATTTAAATAAAGAAAATTTTATTATACCGGTAAATTTAATTTTGGGATTCATATATTATACATTAATCATTTATAATTCCATCACCAGACTAACTAATTAAGAATATTTTCAGTCTTTTTAACGAATATATATTTATATATTATTTTTCTTCTAATTCGATAGATGATTAAATGTAAGAGGGTTTAATTAAAGGAATTTGACCATATTTGGCAAGTACTTATCTGTTCCTACGTGCATTGTTGTTGTGACCAATTCACACAACAAACAATTCGAATTTAAAATAATCTAATTTAAGTATTGATGAACTATTGCCACCTAACTATGTTCATCTATATAAATCTTTTGCTCAGTTCTATTGTCGCAATAACAAATAAGAAAAATAGTCATATATGTTTACAATGAGTTCTTTATGGCGTTCTAGCATTTTCTTATTAATGCTTATAATGTTGTACTCATGTTCGGCCATAGATGTCACGTATGATTCAAATGCTCTCATCATCAATGGAGAAAGACGTCTTATTTTTTCGGGTGCAATCCATTATCCTAGAAGCTCCGTGGAAATGTGGCCCGACCTTATTCAAAAAGCTAAAGATGGTGGCCTGGATGCAATTGAAACTTATATATTTTGGAATCGTCACGAACCTGTTCGAGGTGAATATAATTTCTCTGAAAATTTGGATTTTATCAAGTTTTTTAAGCTTATTCAAGAAGCCGGACTATATGTCATCATGAGGATTGGTCCTTATGTATGTGCGGAATGGAACTATGGAGGATTCCCATCGTGGGAAGTATGTACCGCAAAAATGCAACACCAATTGCGGAAGTCCATCACAAAGGTGGTACCATGTGCCAAGGTCATTCTTGAATGATGACATGAACACATTGGTTTTGTTTGAAGAAATTGGTGGAAATCCTCAAAGTGTTCAATTTCAAACCGTAACAACAGGAACTATTTGTGCTAATGTACATGAAGGTGCTCAATTAGAACTATCTTGCCAAAATGGACAAATAATCTCACAGATACAATTTGCTAGTTTTGGTAATCCAGAAGGTCAATGTGGTTCTTTTGAAAAAGGCTCATGGGAAGCTTTAAATAGTCAACAAGTATTAGAAGCTGCATGCATAGGAAAAAATAGCTGTGGATTTAAAGTGACAAAAGAAATGTTCGGTGTAACGCTTAGCACAATGAGCGTTAATAATGATATATCTAGATTAGCAGTCCAGGTGACATGTTAAGTTAACTTTTAAAAAAAAATTAATTATAAAAGTTAAATGTCATGGTGTTCAAATTAATATTGTATAAACAACTATTTTCATTTAATTGCACTGTTACATTAGAAAGCGTTTATAAAGACACATTTCACAAATCTTGATAAAATAAATTTAACACATCTTAATTACTTGTAATTAACATTATTACTAGATGTTGACTCGCGCGTTGCGCGTGTAGACTTGAAAAAAGCAAGTGAGAACTATTGTCATATATTTTTAAAATATTTGTTATCTTAATTATTTTGATATTATAATTTATTAAGATTATAATGTTTATAAATATAAAAATCTTAAAGCATGCTCTTCTGCTTTTTTCTTTTGTCTTTTGCTCATGATATTTAGAAATTTTTTCGAGTTTAAAATTATACAATCTAAAATAAAAATGTTATCATCAATATTTGTGCATATATATAAATTTCTCTTTAATGAAAAAATATATTTTATCATAGATATTTTTAATTGTCAATTATTAAGTCTGGATATAATATTTACTAATCAAATTTTTTATTGATGCGATTTAACATATAGTATGTTATGTAAGATATTGAGAAAACAAATTAGAGTTATTAGGGAAGTGAGAGAGAATATTTTTGTTTGTCTAACTCTTTCATTTTTCTAGAGCTTGTAGTATATTATTAAACTTGTAATATTGTATAATTCATTGGACAAAAAAATTTAGGTCATATTCAATACATTCTACATCAAACTTGTTAATATAGTATGTTCTTCTTCTTTTTTGTTAGAAAATATTAACATATATAATTGCAATAAAATGAACACTACAATAAAATAAAATAAAATTCAAATTTATAACAGATTAATTAAATAGTCAAATAAAATAAATAGAAGAAATAGGAAGAGAGTAACTTCAATAATGTTATTGATAATCTTTTTGTTTATCTAATATCTTAATAAATTTTATATATTTATGGATATGAAATGTTGTGAGGCTTCGTACTAGGTCTTGCACATTTGTTTAGACCATTTACAATAGAATTTTCAAAGTGTATTAAAAATAGACATATTGTATACACGATTAAATATCCATGTGTTAATTTTTTTAAAATTGGACAGGTGGAGAACATCAACTCCTTTGGTTCTCATAAACAACGATTTCAATAGAGACAAATATTGAGTAGGTTTACTATTGAATTATCAATATTGAGGGGCAAATCCTTACATGATGTGAATTAAATAAAAAATACTAGTAAATCAAATAGTCATAAAACTACTAATCTAATACTAAGAATAACAAAAAAATATTTAATTAATGAGAATGGAGAAATAGACATCTTATATCTAAAGTTTCATGGGTGGAACAAAGTTCTTACCAAAAATACTAATTAACTACAGACAAATGATGAGAAGGTTTAGACATATTCTACAATCCTCGAATGTGAGAAATCAAGTGCAAGAAGTGAAAGAAAATTGGAGATAATTTTTTTTTTATTTATACTGATAAACTATAGAGATATTTGAGGAATTTAGATGGTTTTCTATGAGTTATGGAAATGAATGGACTTTTCAGGTATAGCCGATCAACTAAAGAAACATCAATGAATTAGTAAGGAATCTAATATCAGTGGTAGAATGAAAACGCAATAGAATATATTTATAACTGAAAGATAATATTGATATAAATTTATTGTTTGAAATAGTTGATAAATATTTTAGTTAAGTGATATAATTATAATGTAACATGTAACAGACTTTTAAATTTATATTTGTGTCACAATATATTTTCATAAAGAAATAGAAAAATAGTATTATTTTTATTGTTATTCTATTTAAATGAACATTATAATAATAATAATAATTATTATTAATAATAATATTATTATTATTTTATTATTCTTTTTATTTTTATTATATTAATTTATATTTTAAGTTGGAAGATAAATATGAACAATATTATTATCATTATTATTTTTTATAACTTTTTTTTAAAAGAATTATTTTTCATAACTTATAACTCAGTTATCATACATAAAACTAATAATAATGATTAAGGTATTTATTTCTATTTATTTATTTAATTATTATTTATTATGATACATCAAAAATTCATTTGATAAAATAATTTTAAAAGTAAAATTATTAATTTGAATTCTAAAAAAAAAAATTATTAACTTATATAATAAAAATTTACTTTTATTATTTTTAATAATTAAATTTAAATTATATAAAATCAAATATATGATTTAGTCACTAAATAAAATCGAGACAAAATCTTCTTATAATTTTTATACACTAAGTGGAAAATATTTTTATTATAGTTAGTTATTAAAATAATTTTTATATTTATGATTTATGATTTGTATTTATTATTTTTTATTTTATTGAAACAATGATTTGTATTAATTATTTTTAAAAACTAAGTAATTAAAATTTTATATAAAAATATAAGTAATGTAGTAAATAACTTTATTCTTACTTTATTTATTTTTTTATATATAATTTTTTCTAATTTTAGTGATAGATAAAACAAAATTTATTTTTCTTTTTTACTTTTTAAATTAATGTTAAAAGAATGATGAGTTTTATAAAGAAAATATAATTATATCAATTTTATTTTATTAAATACCCTATATAACTGGAATAGGAATGTAAAGAATTTTATTTGATTTATTTTATTAGTTTATAATTGAAATTGGAATAGGAATATGATCAATATTATATAGTTATTATTAATATCTATTAATAGAATAAAGAGTTTCATAAAGAAAATATAATTATATCAATTGATAATTGATGATGTGTCAATGAGTTTAGAAAGTAAATGAAAAGTTTCTTTTGAATTATTTTATTGTTAAAATGAATAAATTCTCCACATATACAAATAATATGATGTGGCACATTTTAGGGTTATAATTGATTATGTGTCGCTGCAATATTTGATGAATTGGATTTAATATATATAAATAGAATAGGTTAAAAAAATAAAAATGGAAAAGTCCCTAGCTTGTATAGTGCCATCTTTGACATCATTTAAAAAGAAATCTAATTTATACCCCTTATTTTATAAATAAAAAAACCATAATTTCAAAAGTATATTATTGAATCAAAAAATAAAGTTTTTTTTATTTGAAATATATTTTTAAACTATATAACATTTTATTTTCTCTGGAATGCATACTTAAGGAGTAATGTTTGGGTGAAAATTTTATAGGATCCTTAATATCATTATTATATAAGATGATTCAACACTTGAATAAATTTATTCATGTTATATAAAAAAGTTATTGAAGATTTAAATATGATCGACATCTAATGTCAAAAAATATTAAATATATATGTAAATTTGGGATGTTTTAATGTGGACCTTAAAAAAGGATTAAAAAGGTGGATTTTACAATTTCTTTTACAAGTAAAATAGTGAATTTTTAAAATATAACGAACGAAAGTGATGTATTAATAAAACTAATAATATTTCACTTTAAATATTTTTATAGAGGTACATATTAGATACACTCATATAAATCCTTTTTATCTTATAAAAGTTGTGATTACCTTAATTGAACCAAGTGAGGTATATATTGTAATTTCTCTCATTTTTCAAATCCAAACTAATTTTGGTATGCTGTATACACTTTTTAAAAATATATGCACCACTTTCTTGTTTGTATCCAATTTTATTTATTTATAGTATATTTCTATTTTTTAAATTAAAATAAAAAATTCAATACCTGCACAAGTAACATTAGCTAGCAAAATATCACAAGAAGATAACATGTTTACAAATAGAGTCTGCAATGTCTAACCAACAACAAGAGCGCCCACACAATGAATGCACTATAACAAAAAACTTATCCAAAGGACATACAAAATATACACCACATATCATCAAACACAAACAGGTAAACTAATGAACACTAATAGGCAAACCATACAAACTCTTCTCTACTATCAATATAACATTTTATGACGAAGTTTTCACCTTAATTTTTGAAAAACCAAGGTCAAATGACCTGAAACGTTATATATATATATATATATATATATATATATATATATATATATATATATATATATATATATATATATATATATATATATATATATATATATATATATATATATATATATATATATATATATATATATATATATATATATATATATATATATATATATATATATATATATATATATATATATATATATATATATATATATATATATATATATATATATATATATATATATATATATATATATATATATATATATATATATATATATATATATATATATATATATATATATATATATATATATATATATATATATATATATATACTTGCTTTAATCAAGGTGAAGGATAAACTTGCTTTAATATATATATATATATATATATATATATATATATATATATATATATATATATATATATATATATATATATATATATATATATATATATATATATATATATATATATATATATATATATATATATATATATATATATATATATATATATATATATATATATATATATATTAAAGCAAGTTTATCCTTCACCTTGATTAAAGCAAGTATATATATATATATATATATATATATATATATATATATATATATATATATATATATATATATATATATATATATATATATATATATATATATATATATATTATATATATATATATATATATATATATATATATATATATATATATATATATATATATATATATATATATATATATATATATATATATATATATATATATATATATATATATATATATATATATATATATATATATATATATATATATATATATATATATATATATATATATATATAAATATATATATATATATATATATATATATATATATATATATATATATATATATATATATATATATATATATATATATATATATATATATATATATATATATATATATATATATATATATATATATATATATATATATATATATATATA